ACATGCACAATAAAAGGTGACATATTCTTGCCCAGCCTGTGTGGCTCAGTGGTTGATGATCAACCTATGAAACAGGCAGTCACGGTTCGATTCCTGGTCAGGGCACATGCCTGGGTTGCGGCCTTGATCCCCAATGTGGGGTGTGCAGGAGGCAGCCAATCAGTGATTATCTTTCATCATTGATGTTTTTCCCTCTCCCTTTCTCAAGTCAATAAAAAAATATATATTAAAAAAAACAATTGTAATTATTTGTTTATTGTTCCCCAGCAGTCTTAAAGTCTTTTTTTTTTTTTAAATATATTTTATTGATTTTTTACAGAGAGGAAGGAAGAGGGATAGAGAGTTAGAAACATCAATGAGAGACAAACATTGATCATCCGCCTCCTGCACACTCCCTACTGGGGACAGGCACATGCCCTTGACCGGAATCGAACCCGGGACCCTCCAGTCCGCAGGCCGACGCTCTATCCACTGAGCCAAACCGGTTTCGGCAGAGAGCACCTATTTTATAGAATTATCCCTGTGTACATGATTTTTGGAATGAGATCAGTACATTAGTATTTTAATAAGATATTTAACAACTAGAATTGTTTAGGAATATAGTATTTCTTTAGTGACTACTTACTGAATGGAAACTATTTCAAAACATAATTATTAAACACACTAATGAAGAGGAATAGTATGCAGTTGATTATTTGGGGGGTTGCTTTTTTGTGGTAAGAGTGGCTTATGTTATAGGAAGAATCCATATGTGTTTAGCTTCTTTGTAAAGAGGACATTTCTTTAACCTTCCATACATGAGTGTAGCAGCTGTTTGTTCCTCTCTATTTAGATGTCATTTTCTGAAATAAGAATAATTTTAGTGGAAGAATGAAAAGGGAGGTAAAAAACAAAATACAGTAATTAGATGTATTTGTACAGACAGATGGGGGGCGTCATAAAAAAAGTATTAAGTGAACATATTTTTAGGCGTAGTTGGTATTGGAAGAGGACTAGAAATAATAAATGTTTACAAGAAGGGATGGAGACATATCAGATCCTTGCCTTTGCTATCCAGCTTACTAACTGTAGGCCACTGTAAAGTCTTGAATGCCATTTGAGTGGTCTACTGGTCATCTGACCTAATATTTGGTAGAGATGATTAAAGTAACTGTGTGCCTCTGCATCTTAAAGTGATTTCTTAAAAGTAAGCCACTAATTATATGAGATCAATTTATTTGTTTCAATTGTCTAATAAATAAGTATGGGTAAATTGGAGCAGGGGAAGATCTTATTTAGAGTTTATGCAATAAAAAACAATTATCTAAGCCAGTGGTTCTCAACCTTGGCTGCACATTAGAATCACCTGGGAATCTTTTTTAAATCCTGATTTCTGGGCCTCATTCTTCAGAAATTCTGTTTCTTTGTTACTAATTTTGTGACCTCACCCCATAACAAAGAAACAGAATTTCCAGAGGGTGAGGCCCAGAAATCAGGATTTTAAAAAGATTCCCATGTGATTCTAATGTATAGCCAAGGTTGAGAACCACTGATAAGCATTATTAAAAAATTACCTTTGGAATTTCAGCTTTTGGATGGATTTAATTTTCTTGCCTGACCATATTTTCTCCTTTTATTTTCTTCAAAGAACACGAATTATCATTGTAATAGAATTTTTAAAGTTCCATATTAAATATATTGGGGGTTTTTATTTCCAAAATTGCATTACAGAGACTAGAGGCAAAAGGGATAGAGAAAAGGACACAAGAGATGAACGAGAGTATGAGCAGGATCAGAGCTCTTCTAGAGACCACAGAGAAGACAGAGAACCTCGAGATGTCCGGGATCGAAGAGATGCCAGAGATACTAGAGACCGGAGGGAACTAAGAGACTCCAGAGACATTCGGGACTCCAGGGAGATGAGAGATTATAGCAGAGATAACAAGGAGAGCCGTGATCCCAGAGATTCTCGGTCTACTCGTGATGCCCATGACTACAGGGACCGTGAAAGTCGAGATGCTCATCGAAAGGAAGATACATATCCAGAAGAATCCAGAAGTTATGGCAGAAACCATTTGAGAGAAGAAAGTTCTCGTACTGAATTAAGGAATGATTCCAGAAGTGAGTCTCGAGGTGAAATTAGGAATGACCGGATGGGCAGAAGTAGGGGAAGAGGTCCAGAGTTACCTGAAAAGGGTAAGGTTTTTGACTTGTCAGTCGACTGTATCTTGTATATTTATATAGAAATTATTAAATCTCCTAAGATTTCTTTTCTAAATATATTATTTTTACATCTAAAGTAATTTTCAATTAATTAACTCTTAATTCTGAAAAGAAATTGTGAGCTAAAGTAGCAAAAGATAAGTTGAGCCTGACCTAGACCCCCAGTTTGAATTATATCCTGCCTAAAATCTTAATTAATGTGAAACACTAAGAAAATTGTTCTCAGGAAAAAAAAAGGCAAAAGGAAATAATTTCTATACATATATTTAATTTCAAAATGATCATTAAAATGGGATTAAATGGTGGGCTTTCAAAACTGGTAGTGTCAGAAATGACTAATTTGTGTATTCTTCAGTATTTGTACTTGCTTCAAAACACCCCAGATCATCACATATCAGGATTTTGAGCCATTTTTCTTATCTTCCCCTAAAAAAGCATTTGTCATACCATAAAACTACTACCTAAATGTATTTGACTATCTCCAAACTGCTTGGAGTGGATTAGCTTTGTCTTCCTCCACCATCCTTTCTCCCTTCACCAAAACACTGCTGCACAGCCTGATCACTCAGTCTTTTCATTGGTCTGTTGGTCTCTCTTGGTCAATATTACAGCTTCACATTAAACTGAAGGCCCATCACCTTCTTCTTCATAGTTGTCTTGGGTTTTCTTAGCCCTTTGCTTTTTCATTTACATTTTGTAAATGTAAATGTAAAAAAATACCCATTTATTAAAAAAATACACACCTATATAGTGCTCTATACCCTGCTGTTTTCACTTAAAATATATATTGGAGATAATTCCATATTATTCAGTTTGGTAAACAGCTACCGCCTTTTTCTGGTGCATAGGGTTTATTTAATAGGATAGACCATCTATCCTATCTAATAATAGACAAACATGGTAATTAACCATACCTCCACTACACTTCACATTGGCTAATCAGCAGGATATGCAAATTCACTGCCAACCAAGATGGTGCTCAGCAGCCCAGCAGCTGAAGCAAACATGAGGCTTGCTTGCTCCAGTGAAGGAGGAAGCCAAGGTTCCCCGCCTGCCTTGCCCTGCTCTAA